AACAGTAGATGACGATTCCTTGCCTTGAAGAAGTAATGGCCTACGTTGTCGAACATTCAGACCCACTGGAGGCGTTCTACAGCCTGGAGCCCGCTGATAAGGATTTTGATGCGACTTGAGTAAGTACTAAAGTGATGCATAATATCTTTGGGGTCAACTAGCCATTGGGAAATTCACTCTTTTCTTTGATATTCACCTGGAAATAATTGACTCCATCAAATCTTACACAATATCCGAGATAGCAGAAAGATAGTCCTAACCCTCTTGTGCAATGATTTTGTCATAATTATGTCTATGTCCAGACCTACTGCTAACTAAAATGGCATGAAATGGAAATATTTTTGGTGATTATGTGTAAAAAGTCCATTAAAAGACATTTTCATCACAATATACACCAGTCTACCACTACAATTAATAGTGTCTCACCCATATGACTGCAGATGGATTGTATTCTCGGTATTTTCCCGTTTCCATCGGAAGTATTGTCTTTTCCGTGTATCTGTTCCACGCATTCTGAGAATGGCACGTATTCATCTAAAATGGCGGACGCCCACGCTGCATACATGGTATGGGCGCACGTGAGGCACGCTGTGGGGACACTTGTTCGATTCCGCATACAAATGTATACAAATGCGTGCAAAAGAAGTTTCTCTAATCGCTGGAACTTGTGAGTTTCTTTCGATATAGACTACTGGTCTTCAAGGTATACAATAGTAGTGACCCAACGAAGTGGAATTTGCAGAATACAACGTTCGAGGCGGCTCAACAAGTCAAGAGTAAAGTGCGAATTTTCTATGTACGCAAATGAGAAAACCTACTTGTTTCCCGCAGCGCTAGTCACGTGCGCCTTCAGTGAATACGTGCCATTTGCGCGATCTGCAGATCGCGCTGCGCAATCTGGGAAATTTCAGATTGCCCACACGGACCACAGATTGCGCCCCACAGGGATTCGCCGTGCTCTTCATGTTTTTCAACGCAATCCACAGATTGCACCCCGCCTGGATTCGCTGTGCTCTTCACTGTGTTTTTCAGCTAAATCCACAAAATTGTGCCCCGCACAGATTCGCCATACTCTTCATGTTTTTTTCAGGGAAATCCACAGATTGCGCCCCACATGAATTCCCTCTGCTCTTCAGGTTTTCAATGAAGTCAACAAATTCCATGAACCACTAACGTGAATTTTGCCCCACGCGTACTTGGGTGTGTTCCCAAAAGTCTCACCATAGCTCAGGGACGCGGATTTAATTTCCACCATGCCTAGCCGTGTGCCACAAATACCTTTGTGTCACCCCAGAATGCATGCGCAATCTGGAGTCTTCAGATTGCGCAAATTCTCAGGATGCGTGGGACGTATCTGTATAGCCAATGTCCATTTAAACTTGGGGAACTGTGTGTATTTTCTGTATATCGTGTCAGAATTCATGGTATATTCCAAGTCTCCATCCATATGTCTAGTAGGCAAAATAACAGAAGCATCACCTGTGTAGACATTGATTCAGTCTTGGTCTAATTTATTACTGGTTGGTTTCTTTCTTTTCATTCTCCTCACTTGAATCAACCTCTTGCTCACTGGAGCTGTCTCATTCTTCCCTTACAGAGGTGTTGGTGCAAGTGTGGCATTTGTACCCTGGCACGCATGGCTGACTTTCCTTTTTTCACTTGCATTGTGTGGTCTTGCAGCTGGAATTGCACCCACAGCCTTTTGTCAGGCCTGTGACAGGCTGACTGTGGTTGCAAGATGTTAGCCGAAGCCCCACACCATGATTAGGGCATTGGTTCTTGGTCATCGGTTACCTTAAAGAGGTGGGCAGTTGATAGTAAATTTTGTGACTTGAGCGATAACCAGAGACCACACTGTCAGTGCATCTTAATTACACTGTTTTAGATTGCACAGTATCAGCATTAGGCCACACGTTTTTTTCTATGTTTCTCGTCACCCGCGTGCATACGATTCAGGAGTCTGGAAGAAGAAAAAAACTGTGCTACACTGTGGGGACCATGTGCAGCCTGGCCTGGCCTGCGCGACACATGATGTTGTTGGAGTTGACTCTTCCATTTTCTCCTCCTCCTTTGGTGTCGGCAAATGAGACGGAGGCTCTGTGGGTGGGAGCTCTACTGGGGTTTGATCCACAGCACGTTGGTACATCACGTGGGTTAATGACTTAATGTCACCACTCAGTGGTGGCTGATTTACATGTTGGATCGATTTGCCATGTAGCACTCTGCTGGCATCCTGGCAATGCATTCATTTCCACGGTGCCTCTTTGTCGATTTTGTCCATAGACCCCACAGGCACACTGAGCATTTGTAGCTGAAGTAGATCCTAAATGCTATTATCTTTTACTGTGTGCACCGTTGTCATTCTGTATCCAATGTAGGTACCACAGCCTGGCGTTATTCTCCGTTGACGATAGATCCCTGCAAAGTGTACTTGACTGGCTGCACCTGTCTAACACGACTGCAACCAGCAGCTGGAGTGGGTGAGTGTAAACTGAATAACCTACCGTTATGCCGCGTATTCCTGCTTGGAAGCGGAAGGATTTTTTCCAACCGTGCTGCGACCCACAGTTAATTGGGAACTCGTGGCCTGGCATGAGTAATACATGGATGTGGCAAATGGGATTGAGGCCTTTGGCCTCCGGTTGGTGGATCTGATCTATCCTCCCCCACCGTTTAGGAGCCGCATCTGATGCCTGATCATGAGGTGGCGTCCCACGGAAGCGGAAACGTGGTTCTTGACCAGGGAGTTGTACGACTCCTTGTTCTTGACCTGCCCGGTACGCGAACCCGTCGAATTTTTTTTCTTATGCCGCGTATACAAACCAGGTTTGGTGGCTAGGCTTCTAACATTAATTGCCTATGCAAAATCCACAATAATACATGTGTATGTCAACTGCCTTTCTTGTAGTAAGTGAAGAACTGTTTTTAGTTTAAACTACTTTCAGACATCACAGGTACATGTACGTCGTGTTACAGTGTGTGAAGCGATCTGGGGAGAAATGAACAATGTCGTCTTGAAAAATATATCGGTATTTACGGATGCCTCCATTGTGTAACTCTTTGTCTGCTATTCTGATAACGGTGACAAACACTTCTGATTGGGCATGGCGTGGTACTGCTTTGTCTGATTTGTTGCTTTCAGGTGCTGCATGGTGTTCAAAGCACATGTCCATTACCCGGAGCCAGTGCCCGTCAGTGGTGTAACTACCATTCTCATCAAACATCACAAGCTGCTTGGAGTTCCAGTTTTGACGAAACTTGCTGGTCTCTAGGATTCTTAATCCTAGTATTTGCTTCCTACACCAGCCACAGTGTTTTTCTTCCCTCGTTCCTTTTTTTCATCCTTTTTCTTGTGTGTTAACCTTTCAGTGGACCCTGCAATGCATTTCAACAAAATACAGGCATTCTGGTCTGTTTGCATCCGCAGCAGGTACACTGGGAACCATGTGGAGATTGTGGGTCGATATTTAGTGCATCTGGGTGGCATCCCACTAAGGCTTTCGAGCACCCAGGGCATGATACGAACCCCGAGCACGGAAAGACGGCTCTTTTCTGCAAATGCTCCTCTGCAGCCCGTTTCCGCATTCACACACATTATGGCTGTTTTAGCTCCGTTAGTGCTTGCTGTCGCAGACAGTATTGTCCGGTGCTACTGCTAGCTCAAATGGCATGGAATGACGGTTCTCATCACTCGTCAATGACAATGGCTTCTTACAAACCCGGCTGCCGCGCTTCTTTGAGAATATTTTAAACTTCAATGTACTCCTGAATGATCGGATATGCGGAGCCGGCTAGCAGTGTCTGCTCTATGATTTCACACGACTACTGCAGTTCATTCTTCCAAACTCAATGTTTTAAGAGTTCCACATGTTTCCTGAAACCATGTTTTCGACGAAATTCACCACGATATTCCCCGAAATCAATGATTGGGGCACTGAAAGCTGCTTTACCCCTGTGTACTGTACTCTGTAGCTCACTCCATATTGGCATATTCACCTACATACAATTTCCCATCTACATAAGTAGTGAATATTGCTCAATATTCACCGCTATAGGTGTTCATACTGTGAATCATTATTCATCATGGTTATACAATAAGCGTGAACAAGGCGAGGCCGTACTGTATGGGAAACAGTGCGTCCTATACAGGATATGTCCGCAGGGATTATGAAAAATAATCCCGGCGGCGCTGTGTGCCTTGGGGATTTGAAAAATAATACCTGGGAACCGTGCAACATCCTGTACATAATTTTCGCTGTTCGCAGCGGCTTCACAAAACGTACACTTTCTCAGCCCCCCAACCGTACACACAATGTCATAATAAAATCGTAACATACCGGTATGCGATGAAACGTATGCATTGAGAAATTGGATTGCAGTAAAACCTGTGTTTGCCAGGCTGTACCAAGCGGAATCCTGTATTGACCGCACAAATTTTCATGCACCAAAGTGCTGTGGATGAAGCGGAGTCCTTTCACATCAGGACAGTTTCCACTGCAGCAAGGCGTCCTTCCCGGGCAGGTTTTACTATAGTGAAATTAATAGTGAATTCTACTCTGAGTAACTCGTGAATCCACACACAATGATCATAGTACCAAGTCGAAAAGTCCTTTTCAAGACAGAGTGACAGACAGGAGTCGTCACTTAACGGACATATCGACCAACACAGAATACTACAGTGCTGCTCAATGAAATCCAATCAAGCGAGTGAATGTCATGCGGAGCGCTGTGCAGCCCTAGACCTGTGACTACTAGGCTGTGAACTGGCACAGGGCGCACACTTGACTCACGCAATATTAACACTGAGCTTTAAAGTAGCATAAAATTATAGCAGTGCAAAAAGAGTAGAGTCAAATACTAAAGGCAGAAATAGAGCAATGCCATCAAGTGCGAGACAACATGTTAGCAGCATTAACGTGTGATTGTGAAGCTAAATTTGAAGCGGGATGTTGAGTCTACAGTGCACCATGGGCACAGCGACATCGTGTTCCGGACGGGACAAATCAACAGGTTGGGCAACAATTGGTCGATTGATTTCGAAGATGGCGCACAGAATATACGTTATATAGAGCATGTTCTACATCATACATAGCATGCCGAGCCAGGCACCAGTTACAGGAAGTTCCAGACAAGCACCAAGGCCAGTGAATGGCATAAAAAGAGCACAGGCTGCAGCATACCCATAAGCCATTTTATAGAAAGAACTAGGCTATGACTAGGCACCAGACGCTTATTGGAACAGAGGTTTGCAAGGCAATAATTCAGGGCACCATTGCTAATCAAGGAGAAAATTTGTTGCCAGTGTACCCTGAAATGATGTGATAACAACTAACGTGATACACCATGCCAGATTCGTGGCTGGAAGTTGTAAGCTCAGTGCTTGGGGCTAGTGGGGTTCCTCTAGCTTTCAGAATCCTGCATGAAAAAAGGTAAAAGAAAGTGAAGGTACAATAATAGTAAGGTGATGGAAGCCTCTTGGTTTCGCGAACGAATTTCATGATTACATTCATGGCATGGGAACGATGCTACAGAAATACAGAAAAGTTCAGCCATCCTTTAAAGAAAGACCTCTCTAGTTAATCTCATCTTGCCAACAGCACCAATGACCATGCTGTTTGTATGGGAGAATAGCCTTAGTACAGTGCTGCCCAATGAAATCCTGAAATCCAGTCGTGTCACTCAAGTACGCGCCAGGCGTCGCATGACCCTAGACCTGCGAACACTGGGCTGCGAAATGGTGCGAGGCGCAAACTTGAGTGACGTGGCCGGATTTCATCGAGCAGGACTGTACATTCAAGCCACCTGCAATTCCTATTGCAGTGTAAGGTTCTTATTTTACAGGAGCATTCCCAACAGGCCCCAAGGTCTTCTTACATGGTGCCCAAGGTATTCATTGAGTTCATGGAACTTCATTCGAAATGAACTGGAAAAGTGCGAAGGGTCTCTTATTCAGGGAGCACATTAAAGCAGTCAGCTCCAAGAAATGAATTCGATTCGTGCATTCAATTATAATGATGTCCACACCTATGCAATAACTACTGTCGTGGACATGGAAATCCGGTCGAACATCTAGCGGCCCCAGGGCGCTGGCCATGCAGCCGTGGATAAGCGGCACACACATGCATTTATGCGCTGCAGCGTGCTGGTCGCATCGGATCAACATGTGCACTGCACGCAGCGTTCTGTACGCGCTGAGGGCGCTGTCCCGGTCAATCGACTGGATTTTCATGTCCGCTACAGTAGGTATCACACTTCATTTTAGAGGTGAGACCTCACTATATATTCTCTGGGGCACGGCAAGTTTTATGCTTTAGCAAGGTCCATGTTATAGCGAGCTGGGCACACAATACGCACCATGTTACTGTATGTCAAAATTAGGGTTGAAAGGGTTACCGTGAACGGTAAGCTATAAGAGACATACTGTTTTGAACGCGATATGTTCATCCATCCCATTGCTTTTGTTTTCGCTCACTGCTGAGCTCATTACATGATGCTTGTTTGTCCAGAAACACCCCTTGACATAGGCACTCCACTGTACCAGCCTTTGGGTTATCCGTAAATATCAATAAATAACCTGTTGTCATGTACCATTGCTGTACATGACTTATTATCACTGTCGAGAAGGAAAACACCAATTTTCCACAGGCCTAAAAGTCTGAATTATACCTATCAAATGCACTGCCAAAGCAAACACCAAAATAATATGAAATCCAAGCTCATGCCTGAGGGGAAGACGAGAAGGGGAAAACGTGGAGATTTTTTGGGACAGCACGAGAATCCAAAAAATCTGGCTGCTTCCCTTAGTTCCATAATGGGCTAGTAGCTGCATCACAAAATTAATAATACCTTGTAGTATGTGCAGAGACAGATCAATAAACACTAACCTGAGCATGAGAGCCCGTCGTATTCATTGCGATCGTCAAGGAAATAATACGATGAACGAAGGACCAGAAAATTGTTGACTATGACAAACAACTGCATATCCTGACGACATACGGCTTGCCACAGTGAGTCGAGTAACATCTTATCCAATACTATTTGCTTATGGCGTTCAGTTTCGAGGTCCAGCACGATGGAATTTTCGGAAGGAACTACAATTGTAATTGTCGAATTAGTATTTTGGAGAAGAAGATTGCTCTCAGAAAAGCTAACTGGTTTCCGCAGTTTGAAAAGCTGTTCACGGAGTCGTAAACATACAACGTTTCGAAGCTGCTCCAAATCGATCGATTTGTTTCGAATGGTTTCGCGATAGTTTCACGATCGATCTGTTGTGCGCGTTCTGTCGATTTGGAAAATCGATCGATTTTCTTGCGCGATCTGTCGATCGACAGATCGCGCAAGGATCGATCGATCGGAAAGCGGTGGCGAAACCATTACATTCAAAACAAATCGATCGATTTGGAGCAGCTCCGAAACGTCGTACAGTGTATGTTTAGGACTTTGGTGAACAGCTTTTCAAATGAAAGAAACCAGTTACGGTACCTTTTCTGAGTGCAATCTTCTTCCCCAAATAATTCAAAAATCAGTTCCTTCCGAAAATTCCATCGTGCTGGACCTCGAAGCTGAACGTCATAAGCAAATAGTCAAGCCGTGTGTCGTCTGGATATGCAGTTGTTTGTCATAGCCAACATTCTTCTGGTCCGTTCGTCCTGCCATTTTCCTGACGATCGCAATGAATACGAGCAGCTCTCATGCTCAGGTTAGTGTTTATTGATCTGTCTCTGCACCCACTGCAAGGTATAATTTTTGTGATGCAGCCACTAGCCCATTGTGGAAGTAAGGGAATCACCCAGGTTCTTCGGATTCTCGTCCTGTCCGAAAAATCTCCACGTTTCAACTTCTCATCTTCCCCTCAGGCATGAGCTTGCATATTCATATTTTGTGTTTGCTTTGACAGTGCATTTCATAGGTATCGTTCAGACTTTTAGGGCCCTGTAAAATTGGTGTTTTCCTTCCCGACAGTGATAATAATCGCAATCTATAAAATACATGCGCAGTCATTCTATAGTGTGATAAAACACAAGTGTAACTGTAAGAAAAGAGAAAGAGAGAGGGTGAATAAAACAAACATATGTGCAAAATACAGTTACGGTGCTAAGGAAAGAATGTGGATGCCGTGACATGTTCTTTCTGAATGCATCGGTCTGGCTTATGCTTGTGAATGTAAACAGCATCTATGACTTTTAACTGATTGAAATTCTTTGCAAAACAAACAATACTACAATTGTAAACCGAGAATCATACGCCAAACGACACGGGTCACTGAACAATAAATGCTTAAACCCTGCCGTGTTCTTCTTCTCATCGCCAACCTCCCCTTCATCTTCATCCTACAGCGTAAAATGAGTGAGGTGTGGTTTGAGATATGGTTGTTTTTTTAGTTGCCGTGAGAGGGAGAGACAGAGAGAGAGAGAGACAAAGACAAAGACAGACACACAGACAGAGACAGAGAGAGAGAGAGAGAGAGAGAGAGAGAGAGAGAGAGAGAGAGAGAGAGAGAGAGAGAGAGAGGAGGGAGGGAGGGAGAGAGTGAGGCTCTGTCGTTCTGGAGATGTGTTGGCGGTTTTCTCTTTCACCTCTCTTTTCTCTTTATAGTTTTTCACTAATTCGTCATTCAACCCAGAGCTGTGTTTGTTGGCTGGTCGACCACAGGATTTTGTGTGGGGTTGTTCTGGAGTGTCGGACTTTTGTTGTAGTGTGACTGTTACAGTCCTGAAACACATGCAGTAGACACACTACTATAAAATACACTAAAAATGTACAACATGCGCACATTTCCTGGATTGATCAGTGTGGATCGATGGCAATACAGTTGTAGTCTGTAAGCAAACAGCGCCATTTTGACTAGGGTGAAATGGTTAGATAGGTATGGGTTAATCAGTTATTTTCTTTCAATGTCCGCTGTACATAATATACGTGACAGCATGTGCGTACCCTGTCAGTACTGTGCACAATGGATGTACGGCGTGTATCTCCCTCATCTCTGGGGTTGCTCCCCATATTAGTGATGCTTGCGTATGCTCATGATGAGGTTGAGTTGATTAAATGACAAGGTGATGGTGCAATCCGAAGCCCAATGGAGCATACAAAATATTAAAATATGTTGAACCTTTCGTTCAGAAAGTAGTGGACATTCACGCAACTGCATTGTAAATATAAAGGGGTTTGTCAACTGGCAACCGCTCTATTTAGTTGTTATTCACTCTTTGTTGAACCTGCTCTGGAAAACTGAGCAAAATATAATATGCATCCACTATACATATGAGCCGTCAGATGAGAAAACAGACCTTATCACAAAAAAGTCATATTTTTGTTTGTGGTGCTATCTGATTGCCAGGAGCACCAGGAATCGTATGCAGAAAACTAGAGTTGATTTGGACCAGGGAAAGTAAAGTTATAGCCTCGACAGTAGGAGACAATTACAAATTGCACCTCAAATTTGGGTGCAATACCAACAATTGTTTCACCTACTTTGGATAATATTTTCTGTTTCCTTTGACCGATTTCCACAAACTTGGGCTTTCTGGAAAGCTCTGGCTACAAGCAACCCGTTGGGCCCAAATCCGATAGCAAATAAAGCACAGCTCCAGCGCAACAAGCTACAGACATCGCTTCAGCGCTAGACTTCCGCCGTCACACGAAAATCGCTCGCCATTTCCATCTCCATTATCCCAGGACGCCCAATTTTTTTCGTGAAGATGCAGTGAGCGCCTCCAAAACGTCTGAGCCTGTTGCCGAGATCGTAGATCGCTTGAAAAGGGGGAAATCCCTGGTCTGGAGCGTTTGACTCGCGTGTAGAAATGCAAAGTGCCGTGACGTATCTTGCAGGCTTCGCATCTCGGGAACGCAGCATCGTGCCACGATCGCGCTTGCTGCATTGGATTTCTTGGAGTTTTCTCTTCGATTTACATACTTGGATTGTCCCAAAAGACCGATATTTGACTGAAATACGACGGTTTGTAGCTTGGTTGTCCAGACGCACCAGTGGGTAAACTCGCCAACTTTCAAGTGCACTTTTCTGCACTGTACAGTTTTTCGATAAGGTCTGTTTTCTCATCTGACGGCTCATATTGTAAACAGTTTCGTCTGAGACAAAAATGCGATAATACTCATAATACTCATAAAGTATACTTGTGAAGACAAAAACTTTCAAGACGTTTGTAATGAGCCTGAAATGTGTCCTTTTATGAGTATTATACATATTGTAGTGATTGTTTTGGCAGTGCGTGAGGTCATGGTACCATGGATACATGGATTTACAGTCATGTACAGCAATGGTACATGAATACAGGCTACATGTACAGTTTATCTCTTATAGGTTGTAGCAAGAGTAGATAAACAAGAGTGTGCAACTCTGGATCTCTTCTGCACAATCTGCACATACCCCTGCCTGTGGCAGCATTTTTTGTAGACGTCACCTTTTTTCAGAAAAACGCGCATTTTGACGCAGAACAGTGTGAGAGCACGTACTGGGCACCGACCTTGTAATGTAAAGCCCGGCCAAGTGCACGATGCAAACTGTCCAAAAGACCCGCAGCGCATGCGTCATAGAAAAGATTACGTCAACAAAAAATTCCGCCACGGGCCAACCCATCCCGGAGTTGTACACTCTTGTTTATCTACTCTTGGTTCTAGCCTATAACCTTTTGGTTAACCGCAGCCCTAACTTTGACATATATGGTTTATATTATGTGCCCAACTCGCTATAACATGGACCTCTCTAAAGCATAACACTTGCCGTACCCCAGAGAATATATAGTGAGGTCTCGCCTGTAAGATGAAGTGTGATACCTAGTTATTGCATACATGTACATGTAGGTGTGAACATCATTATAATTGAATTCACGAATCAATTTCATTTCTTGGAGCTGACTGCTTTAATGTCCTCCTCGAATCCCTTCGCACTTTTCCAGTTCATTTCAAATGAAGTTGCAGGAACTCAATGAATACCTTGGGCACCATCTAAGGCTGCGTATACACGACAACGCTGGGGGTGAAAGCGCAACTAAATCCTTTCGGATGCATGGTTCATTTACACGGTACGCGGAGCAAAACGTAATAGTTGTACACCAAAGCGGAAGAGAACCAAAACGCTGGCCAAGGTGGAAGAATTTGAAAACGGAAATGTTCTGCCGGATAAATTTGGGTGTGTAAACAGTCGAAACGGTCTGCTGGCCTCGTTTCCGTCACGTTTGTTCCGTTTTCGGCCGTTCACATGGATCCGACAATAAAACTCTTTTTTTACAATTTTCGTCATGTGACGAGTGCTGGTGTGTGGCCTGTTTTCGATTATTCCTTGAGTGTGATTGGTGCTTCCATGACAACACTCGGCACATGACGAACTTTTGCGGATCCTTTGCTCCCGTGTAGACGCGAGAAAACGATACAAACCGAGACCACCTCGGATCAGCTTTGATCGTGTAAACGCACGAAAATGAAAAAAGAAATGCGGGGCTGAAAACGGAAAATGGCCGTGCGTTGTCGTGTAAACGCAGCCTCAGAAGACATTAGGCCCAGTTGGGAATGTTCCTGTAAAATAAGAACATTACACTGTAATAGGAAGTGCAGGTGCCTTGAATGTACAGTCCTGCTCAATGAAATCCAGTCGTGTCACTCAAGTTTGCACCTTGCACCATTTCGCAGCCCAGTGTTCGCAGGTCTAGGGCTGCGCAACGCCCGGTACTTGAGTGACGCGACTTGATTTCAGGATTTCATTGGGCAGCACTGTACGAAGGCAATTCTCCCATACAAACAGCATGGTGCTGCTGACAAGATGAGATTCACTAAAGTGGACTTTCTTTAGAGGATGGCTCAGCTTTTGTATACTTCTGTAGCGTCGTTCCCATGCCATGAATTTAATGATGAAATTCGTTCGCGAAACCAAGAGGCTTACATCACCTTACTATTATTGTACCTTCACTTTCTTTTACCTTTCTTCATGCAGGATTCTGAAAGCTAGAGGAATCCCACTAGCCCCAAGCACTGAGCTCACGGCTTCCAGCCACGAATCAGGCATGGTGTATCACGACATCTATATGTTTTGCATCCATTTGATTACTAGTACCGTAAAGTACCGCCAGAGCGCCCCACTATCTCGTCCTTTCGTGGTCGTATTGTGTAGGTGGTCTCCCGTCTGTAGGTCATACGACACGAACTTCGTACACATATTGCACGTTGTGGAGACAATCCGTACCTTCGAG